CGGTGTGCTGCTTGGCTAATTCCTCGGCCTCCTTCAAATGTTCTGCTTTGGCCTTTCAAAAACACCCCTGCTTAGCTATATTCCTCTACGCAAGTTTCCACCTCTTGACAAAATATTCATTGCACTTATGAAAGGAGAACTCAACAATTCTAGGAACATGCAACGATCGAACTCCGGTGAATACACAGTTGAAGGACTCCGAGGAGTTAGTGGTCATGATGCCATAACTGAAACCCCCCTCGTCATATGCTAACACCCATGAGCCTTCTGTTCCATCTGCGCCTCTAACCAGGTTTTTCTCGCTTCATTTATCATCTTGTCTAGTTCTCTCTTTGTCTCCTTGAACTGGTGCTCTGTACGTACACAATATAGAGCCTTTACCTTGTCACATACCTCCTACTTCCTCTGACGCCACCAGAAATTAGCGGCAAAGTGTCTCATGCACCATCTATGCACTAGAGGCGGGAACCCATATATATGCTTAGCTACAGCATTAAGAAGCTCTGGGTGACGGTCCGAGATCAAACATATAGTGCGAGATGGGCCAAACACTTGTAGACATAGGAGCTGTATGAACCATGACCACGATTCGTTGTTCTCTCCCTCTGCCAAAGCAAATGTCATGGGTACTATCTGGTCCTCAGAATCAACAGCAGTAGCCATCATCAAGGTGCCCCTATACTTTCCTATCAGGAAAGTGCCATCAACAAGTACGACTGGCCGATAAAACAGGAATGCATGTTCTATTTGCGCAAACGACCAGAACACACGATAGAGGGCATGCCTCAATGGATCCCGAAAACACATCTCTTCGGTGTCCACAAACCATTTCAAGCATGGGTTGTAGTAATGCATTGCACATAAGATGCGGGACACCCTGTTGTACGCTTCCTCCCAACTACCCCAACGAATCGCGAGGGCAATTTGCTTAGCACGCCAAGCCTTTCCGTACTTCATATCGTACTTAACGAATCCAGATATAGACTGTTGTAAAGAAGACACCGAAATGTTGTTATTGTCATCAACGAGCCCCAATATACGATAGGCAAGGTAACATGCAGTGAGCTGCTGATGATTTCCTTCCCCCTATTTGTTAGGCAAGTGTGGGGTTCGACAACTTTACTTATCCTCCACTTGCCATCACTCTGTCTCTTTCGTGCATTTAACCTCCACATACAACCGTTTTTGCATATCATGTGGTACCTCAAGTCCTGGTCCGAATGAGTGACTCTGTACGGCCTATGGTGATACACAACATAGTCCTGAAGGAAGAGCTTCATCTCTGACATTGTATTGAATATCATCCCCTTCCTAAGGGTTTCTTTCTCATGGTCATACAATGATTTCCTACACATCTGGAGACCAGTGTCACAAACTGCAATATCTATCATGCTGACATCCCTATAGTTCAGAACGCCCCTGAAAGGTACGTTCATCAACCTTAGTTGCTCAAGCTCAGTCGCTGTGTAAGGTGGTGGTGTAACATACTGCTGCACTTCGCTAATTCTGCCCCATGAATCATAGGGGGTATCATCTGCTTGGTAAATCTATGACTAGTCTACCCTGAGCCTGGATAGCATGCAAAACCTCAGTTGGTACTGGTGATGGCATACCATGAATAGGTACTGTCATGGCATCAATCGGTGTGGGCATAGCATGTCTATCTCCCTGGTCACCATCTGAATCATCCGAATCACTGCTAACTACATCACCGATCCTGTCCTCCTCCTTCTGCTACTTCTCTTCTAGTTCGAACTCGTTCACATTGAAATCCTTGCTTATACAGCCTACTTGACTTGAATGAAACTGCTCCTGCATCAACTGACCATCTAAATCCATGTTAGCCTAAGCTACATCCCCTTCGATCCCCAATTCTTGCTCATTGCCTCCAACACCATCAATGGACGGTCCGTCCTGGACACCCTGCATCATATACCCATTATCCACCACCACCTCAGCTATGGGCACATTGAAAACCTTGGAGCACCCTAGTGTAGTGGGACCAGTGAGCAGGGTCGCGCAAGGGCATGAGGACATAGTGTGCCCTAGTCTTTCCAGTATCAAACCTCCCCTTCAGTGTGAAATCACCGTCAAACTTTGCATTCAAACGGATACAAAGGTTGTTGAAGCTAGGAGGTTCATCAAACCATTCCAATTCTTCTTTCATATCCTCAAACATACCATCTTCTCTCCTAACAATTCCTCCGTAAAAAACTCTAACACAACAATCCTTCTACAAAATCATTTCAAGAAACTTTATCAATTCATCGAAATCGTCATACATAATGTCCATAGTAATATTAATACCTATTCTAACTATAACTATACTAAGTAATCTAATATTAACATCTATACAAGGCTAACTACAACAACTAATGTATAACTAGACTCACTAACTGTACTAACTAAACTAACTAACTTTACTATCTATACTAACTTACTATATTGTCTATACTAACTAAACTAACTAACTTTACTAACTATATTTTACTAATTATACTAACTTTATTTATTTTACTAACTTACTATACTAACAATATCGATTCAATCAACAAATACACTAGGGGAGTACCTCGTGGCGGTGGCGCTCGTCCTCGCGGTGACGACGCGCTAGACCGGCCGGGAGGCGCGGGCGCTGGCCTCGGTGGCGGCGGCGGCAGGCGCGGGTCCTGCAATGAGGGCGGCGACGCGGCAGTGAGGGTGGTGGCGGCGCGCGTGGCGCGTCCGTGCGCGAGCAGCCGCCGTGGTGGCGGAGGGCGCGGGGCGGCGGCGGACGGGTGGCGCACCCGCGGCGCCGGAGTGAGTGCGCGCGCGCGGGCGTCGGCGGTCGCGGCGGCGTGTGGCGCGGCGCCAGCGGCGGCGGCGCGCGCGGCGGCGGCGGCGCATGGCGTGGCGGCAGGCGAGCGACGCCCATGCGCGGCGGGCGCGCGGCAGCAAAGCGGGATCGGGCGCGGCCCTTTAGCCGCTCTCGCCGCACCACGGATCAGGTCGCGTCGCCACGTCGCCGGTCAGCGCCTCGGTCGTCGCCACGTCAACCCTCTCGCCGCGCCACCATGCATGGCGCGACACAGGCATTTCACCGCGCCATGGAAATAGGCGCGGCCAAAAGTGTTAGTTTTGAAAAAAAATTTAAACAATGTTAGATTTAAAAATAGTTTACAAAAAGTGTTAAAATAAAAAAATTCACCCTAGGCATCCAAAGCTCTGGAGAACATCACCCAAACCCTGAATTCTCCTCTTTTATCTGATGGCACAATCATAGTTTTGTATTGTTAATCTGAAGTTACTGACTGATTAGGATTCCCAATCTACTTTAGGCAGATTAGAAGTTGAGGTTGACAATGGCAAGGGTAGAAAATGGCCTAAATCCTAGTCTCAATCCAATGTCTTAGCTCTAAATCCGAACACCATGTAGATTTTAACAACCACTCTCTTTACCCACTTAAACATAGTATCTGGCCATGTTTGCATTACCCGGGCTCTATTCTTTGATGGCACGCATAATGCATACATTACCCGGGCTGATTGCTGTTTGTTATGTAGGATTTGGTTTTGTTTGCTGTAACACTGAAATTCAAACATCGAATATTTATCCTTCCTAGCGAGAGTCAAACAAATCCAATCCATGGTGCGTGGTCCAGATTCCAGAGTACGTGCTTCGAGCTACTGGGTAGCACGGTTACGATTGATATTTCAATTCGGATTCGTATTCGGAGAAGTGAGACGATGGCCAGCGCCAGCAGTCCCTCCCGCAGTCCCGCTCCGACTCCGAACGCACGGGTGCATCGATCGAAAATCGAACCACTTCCCTTTCCGATTCAGGCATGAGTGCTGAGGTGGGCACGGCACAGACCTTCCTTACAAATATCAGAGGATCCCTGCATGCAATTCCTTGTCCACGACTCACCGTACGTACTGCGTCAGCCTCAGCCGGCCGTTGCATGCAGAGTTGCCGCCTGACTGCACCGGCGACGAAGGAAAAGAAAAACGAGGGATCTGTCTACGTGACGTTCAGTTGCTTTGCGTTAACTGAATTTTTTCTATACATTTACATTGTTTTCGTAGCTATATTTACATAGTTTTATTGCTATATTTACAATGATTTCTTCAGTGTAATTTATTGGACAGAGTGATGTAAGTTAGAAATAACATAAATATATGTCAATTTTTTCAAAAAAAATTACAAATTATTTCTATGGATTATAGACATCAAAGAAATATATGTCAAATTATTCACAAATTCTTCACAAAATTAAAAAAAACAAAATCTTCACAAAATTTCGAAATGTTGTGCTACGCTGCCGCCACCGACGCCGACACCGGGGAAGGCGTAGCGTCCGGCCTCGACTGGTACTGCGAGATATGGTACTGCCACATATGCTGTTGCTGCTTGCTGCGGCTGCGTCGACATGAGTTGCTGCAGCTGATTTATCATCGTCGCCGACGAGGTCGCGGTGGGGCGGCCGACGTGCGGGCCGTACCCAGGCTGCACACGTGCTATGGCATATGCGAGTCCACCCAGAGATGAGACAAAACGTGATCGATCAGATCCAACGCTCGAAGGGCGGGGGTGGCGTGACGCAGGCGGTAGATCGGGCGGCAGCTCTCGGGCCGGAGTCAAATCCAACGCTGGAAAATTCGGTTGACAGTGGCAAATAAATCATACGGTTGACGTATAGCGTTTCCGAATCGCTTACTACAAAATTTAAAATGGCTTGTATTTTTTGTATATATAATATATATATCGCAAAAACAAAGTCGTCGGTGATCACGAACGATCACCAGAGCTTGATGCTTAACTTGCAGTCCATGCTCTTGACCCCGAGGCTGCCCTCGGTGGCGAGCCTGTTGAGCACGAGGTCGCAGCGGACGCTGGACGTGAGCTTGGCCGTGGTGAATGGCCCGACCTTGACCCGGACGGGCACCTCGCCGCGGAACACGAGCGGCAGCTCCCCGCCGGCCTCGTTGACGTGGCGCATCACCTCCACGACGCCCGTGCCCTATAGGCGCGCCTCGCTCATGGCGACGCGCACGAGCGCCGCGTCGCCGTGTGGGCCCTGGTAGAACGCCGGGAGCGCGCACTGGGAGAGGCGGTACCCCCGGAACCAGACGGACAGGTCGGAGCCTTCCTCGTAGCGGATGCCGATGGCGCGGTTGGGGTTCTCGAACCGCACCGACGCGTCGAACGTGGCACGCGCCGTCATGTCGTCGTCCATGCCGAACGCCGTCACGTTCAGCGCGTGCACCGAGTACCGGGGCAGCTTCGGGTCCAGCGCCAGGTACAGCACGCCGAGCAGCGCGGCGACGAGCGCCGCGGCGAGGAGGGCGGCGCAGGCGACGCGGCAGCAGCAGCCAACGACGCGCGTCCGCCGCTTCTGCTTTTTGTTCTTCTGTGAGGGCTTGTTGTTCGCCGATGTGGATGTGCAAGGTGATGACGCCGGCGCCGGAGAGTCTTGTCGTCCGGCCTCGAGGTCCACCTCCACCTCGTGGGTCGTGTCGAGACGTGCCATTGCTTGTTTGCAGATTTGCTATCCGTCATGCGGTTGTTTTGGGAGAAGGCAGCAACCGGATTATTATCCGTCCATTGCGTGTGATGATGTGCGATGGTCATTCGATTGCGCTGACACACATCCGTACGGTCCCAAACCAATCACCGCTTCGCCGCATGGAGCCCAGCAGCAAGCTAGCATGCAAGTACGCACGCAAGCACACGGGCACACGGCGGCATGGATGCGGCAGCACAGCAGCGCGCGCTAGCTCCACGTACGCGGCCCGGCCTCCACCAGCGCAACTTGGGCGGTTGCCACCGTTTGATTTTGTTTTTTTTAATTTCTGAAGAATTTGACATATTTGACATGTATTTCTCTGATATCTACAATCCATAAAAATAATTTATAAATTTGGTATATATTTGTCTGAGATATGCAATTATCCTCAAATTACATTACTGTATCCAATAATTTACACTGAAGAAATCATTGTAAATATAGTAATAAGGCGGTGTAAATATAGCTATAAGACAATGTATGTGTATGAAAAAATCTGATTGTTGTGAGGGGCTAAAACAATCAGTTATTGGTTAGACAGATTAAAAAAAAAACCGTAACTCTCCTTCTCTCGAGGAATCGAACAATTTTATATTTAACTGAATCCATAAAAAATACTACTATAATTTGTGATCCTAAATAAGTATTTTAGAGATTAACTATAAAGTATATTTTTTTATACTAAATCTATCTAGAGTCATATATTATTTCAATAAACATGATCAGATTTTAAAAATTTTAATTTGCCTTGTTTCTGATCTTTTCTTTTAAAAAACGGACAAAATAGTTCTTAGGGCAATCCCAATCATAAAACCATGAGATAGTTTCTATATTTGCTGATTGGTGTTGGCACTACACATGAAAACTATATTTTTACAATGGATGGTTTCTTCAAATTAAATTTATCCAGCCATATACCTCCTCTCTCCTATCGAGAACCTATCACAACTTTTCATGTTATGGTTCCTATGTAGACATAGTTTTTTTTATAAAGAAACAATTTCCTTCTCTCTCCTCCATAATTCCAATGCCATAGTAACATTTTGTCTACTTGACACCTTTTTTGAAATCGAAGGGGAAAGGGTCCCCAACAAGGTTCTCACTCGTACAAGGACCAAATACGAGTAAGGATTTTACACAGTTGCATGATTCATACACATAGCGGACAAACACGACTAGACCCAGACCTAGCTCACCTATAGATTGCCCTTGTCCTTGCAATTTCTTCACACCCTAGCCATGCACCAAAGATTGTGCTCGTCCTGCACCTCAAAATTGTGTTAACCGAAAGAGATACCCCCTCAAACACAGGAACTACCTATTGGTGCTGCCCAGATCATACCGGTGGCTAATTACTACTCTCTCCGTAAAGAATCTAATTCTCACTTTCTAAGGAGTCAAACAATATTAAATTGACCAAATTTATACAAAAAATTACAAACATTTATGATACCAAATAAATATCATTAGATTAATTATATAATATATTTTCATAGTAAACTTAATTTTAAACATAAGTGGTGCTATTTTTCCTAAAGATTTGGTCAAATTTAGAAAAGATTGGCTTATTCGCAACCTACAATTGCATTCTTTTTAGGATGAAGAAAGTATCGGTGAAAGTTTAGTCGGACAGAGAGTGGGATGAGGCTAAGGGTGTGTTTGGTTCCCTGGCTTCACCCCTAGCCAGGCTTCCATAGTACAACTTGGGCCTGTTTGGTTGGCTGTAAGGCCCTCCTAGCCAGGCTTACACAAGCCCACTAAAGGTGGTTAGCCAGGCTTGCTGGAAACGCTCACCCCTTGTTCCCATGGAGCCAGGCTTGCACAAGACCCATGCCCGATTCCGCTCACCTCCTCTCTATCCACCATGCCGGTCGTTGCTCCGTGCTCCACCCTTCACCTCCCTGTGCTCCCCCATTGTCTCTACCCCCGCAGTGCTCCCCTACCATCGTCGGCGCCGACTCGTGCTGCACCAAGAGGGCCACGCGAAGGAGCTCGACCGGAGCTCAACGCGGTGGTGGTTGAGGACCTCGATGGCCGCATGGAGGAGCGAGGAGGGCGCGGTGGTGGTGGAGGAGCAACGCCGGATGCCGCGGGGGGATCCACCCTCCACCTCGTCGTGCTCCCCCGCCATCTCTACCTCGGTGAGGTCGCCTCCTCCTCTAGATCCACCAAGCACCCGGCGAGGTCACCTCCACCTCCAGATCTGCCATCCTCCTACGTGCGTCGTCGTCCTCCTCCTCCGTGCGCGCTAGCCACCTCCGGGTGTATGCTCCGGCTGACCTCCGGGCATGGGCGGAGGAGCAGGGCATATGACGCGCTACTCCATCTCGACGTCACCCATCATTCTTCTAGTTCTAGCCATGGCGAGGGGGCGGAAGAGGAGCCCATCATCCTTCTTGAAGCATGGGGGAGAGCAGAGGCGCCGCAGCCCCGGCCATGGCAAGGGGGCGAAAGAGGAGATCAGCAGGGCGCGGCCGGTACATGCCTACCAAGTGTTCGACAAAATGCCACAGGGGGTAACCATACCAGTGGAAAGATTCGATGATTGTATGCAAACAAGTGCAGGCAATCAAACATGCTATTTCTAACCTAGGCTTAGACTAGAAATGCAACCAAACAAGTGCATCTTGTACTACATAAGTCAGGATAAAGTTGCCCAGGCTTAGTTTTGCTAGCCAGGCTTGGAGAGGAAGTGAACCAAATACACCCTAACGATTAGCTCGTTGGCTAGGCAAATGCAGCTAACATGGATAATGGATTATGAATGAAAATCTCACACCCATTTTCCCCTCTCTAGTACATTCTCTTCTCGGGAAAATCTAACCTTCCACTTTTTCCTCTTTGGTATACTCTATCCTCATCTCTCTCTCAACCACCCATCCAGCCATGGAGGCATAGCATAGAGCAGGGGAGCACAAATCGTAGTTAGGAACAGGAGGAGCAAAGGACGATGCCACCCAGAGCTAGAAGCCACTACACTTTGACACACATTTGCCTATAGTTATATATATGTGGGGGGAAGGTTATATATTTGTGTCAAATGATCTGTGGACAAATGTACAACAATTTGTCAACATCTTATCTGTGGGTAATGACTATATAAGCCAACATGTAAACTGTTTGTGTTACTAGATGCTAAAGATAAAATGTCAGCATAGATTCAACATCTAAACATCAGTCGACAAATCAAAATTAGTGACTTAAAACAATTTGTGAAGGTGCATAGGCTTGTACCCTACCAATTGTGCCTAGAGCCAAAAATTAGGACTACACCAAAAGATTTTGGTGTCGTGCTACTATTGCACTACATCCATGTGGGTGGGATCACAGGTGATGAGGACATGACTCCTTCGGATGTACCTGCTGATCCTCCAACCGTTATGCAAGGTCCAATGACTCGAGCTCGAATGCGTCAACTCAATTTAGAGGTGAGCTCATTCTTAAGCGATCCTTTTCATACTTTTGAGAATAGACTACTACCTAATGATGTTATCTTACTTAGGAACATAGGAAAGGGTCATGAGGAACTTGGGAGAAAGGTATAGAGGTGGAGAAGACCAGCAAGGACGACCAACACAAGCTGGAGGCCCAGCCCAACTGAAGTTGGAGCCTATCTCGGGTTGCAGGACCAGTCTGTCATAAAACTAGTCACACGGGCGCGTCCGGGCTCCGTTTTTAACAATCCACATATGGATGGAAAGCTAATTAGATAAGGAAGCCAATGCAAGTAGTCTCACATAAAAATCCCTTCGGAATCAACGGGAATCCTCAAAACAAGTCAATGTCCAGAATCTGCCAGGGTGCTGCGACACCGTCTTTTGGTCCGTTGGACTGTGTATCGTGTTTGGGCCCATTAGGGGGCACGTATAGGGGTCTTTGCATGACCCTAGAGTCTTCATAAACAGCCGCCACCCCTCCATTAGGGTTTGTGTTTTGCTTAGATTAATCTGTCAAGAACAGTTGCACCGTTCATCGGTTTGTGAGACCCCAACATCGTGAGATTAATCATTCATCTGCAATTTGGATGTTTTCTTTCTTGCTCTTGCTTGTCTTCTTCGTTGCGCAGGCAGGGATTAGCCTTCTTGGCGAGGTCAACCGGATCTGTGTCTCGGTTGATAACCAAAGGAGTTGTGGTGCTAAGATTGCAGGGTTCGATCTTTCGATCTAAAGCCGGATCGGCGTGTCATTCTCCACCACAACGATAGTTAGGTCTACCTGATGGAAGATTGGGATCCTTGTCCCCATTAAGTGGTATTCAGAGCTAAGGTATACCATCAGGTTTACATTTATCCCCTAGTTTTGAGTGTTTCACATTTATCCCATAGTCCAGTGCCATACTCGTTTTTTTTTCGTCCTAGAACCTTCTGCGCTATAGGCTTTGCATATTTTAGTTTTAGAGTCCGTCGTGTTGAGTTTGTGTCTTGGTCGAGGTCTTGTTGCTGGTTAGGTCATGTTAGAGTCCAGTTCATGTGTTTTTTTCCCATCGTTTCCATCAAATCCTTGCTGACGTGACCAATTTTGCACGCATTGTTCTCGTTTTGTCCTCTAATTCAGAGTCAGTTCTCAAAATTGATCTAGTTTTCGCATACGAACTCGGATTTCAACGTTCTATATATCAAAATTGATCAGAAAAAAAATTTGGATCCGTTCGTCCCCCGCTTCATTGGGTTTAGAAAATTTTATTCTGGCCAAAACTGGTCACAAGATTCTCTTTTCGTGGTCACAAGCTTTTTGTCAATTTTGAGCACGTCTTCTGAATTTTCCACAGGCCACACCTTTCACTTGTTTAAGCTCATATTTTCTGTGGTTATTTCTTTTGTGCTCCTAAGTGAAAAAATATCAAAAAAATAAAATAAAAAGTCAAAGTTTCCCAAAAAAACAACGACAACCCCAAAAAATAGAAAAAAAGAGGGCAAAAGAGGAACAATATCTAAAGGAGCACATAGAGAAGGCCAAAGTGAGCT